TAATCATTTTATCCTGCTCTTGAAGTTGGCTGTCCTGGGGTCCTGAAATCGACAGTTTCAGGCTTTGCCCCCGATATATGGGCCTTCTTTGGGTAACCTTATAAAGAAAATAAATAAGTACATTTACTAAGTATAAAAATCTTTCGTGCTACTAAAACAAAATATGAGCGTAGGCCTACTCGTACCTACAGTAGTCTACATGTACATGTACATAACATGTCAGATTTGACACACACACCTCGACTAATTTTTGATTTTTTCAAGGAAAATAGTTAGCATTCGTGTTTTTCAAGCACTAAATGAAAAGAAAATACATACCTTCCAGTCAATTCACATTTTCATCCAGATGTTATGGCACCACATTCAAGTAAATTGCGTTTGAGTTGGTTCACTGTCAGCGACGCGTGCACACGCTCCATGTTAAACTCTGGTGTAAAGCCGTGAGCGAGATTCTGCGAGATTTTAGAAGGACTGCTTTCACCCCCACGCCATCTAGCGGCAGACCCTTAAAGCGGGTATTCCCCATTAAGACGTTCTGTTTAAACAAAAGTATCATTTGTCCTCTTATAGATAAAATTAGAAATAATCCCCGGACGCACATTCGCTGACATCAGATTGCGGTGTTTATATAGGCATTAAATGGTGTTGATCGATAGCTGTTCAGAAATTGTGTTTGAAAACGATATCAAAGCTGAATATACTGCTGTGTCGTCATCACCCCCAATTAGCAATGGGCTGGATACAGTTTTGATGTAACAGCATATATTAAACCGTGACAATGTTTATTTGTAGATTATCTAAGAGGATAAAAATACTCCATTGTATTGACGTATTTATCGCTAGTCAATCTATTTTATCTTTATATTCATTCTTGCAATTAAATCAGGTATTTCTTATGAAGAATACGTATGAATGTAAATATAGAAACAAAGATAAACAAATAAACAAATAAAGAATGGTGATAAAATATAACAAGCACTATCATAAAGCAAACACAACTGGTCAGTCAATGTTTTTACACGGTATGTGTTGCATTTGTTCTTTGTTTACAACAGCAAGGTTAACATTCGGGTAAAATTGACCTTTCTTATAATGATTTTCCACTTGTTTATTAATCAAATAATACAGCTCTTTTGGGGGGATGAGTAGTTGCAGTAATGACACTGTCAACAGTTTATTGAAAATAACGTTGCCTTAACCCTATTCATATCGGGCGAGGCATTTTACCAAAAGCTTCTGTTGTGTGACAAAAATAAATAAATAAATAAATGAATAAAAAAATAATAGTATTTGGTTAATAAGGGACGCCACCTGGAAGGAATGTGTAGCAAAATAAGCTGGCATGATGAGGGTTTAGAACATTGCACTCCGTTTCTTAGGGATGGCAAAAATACTTCTATACAATACAGTTATTTAGCCTTATCGGTTTATTTATATTGTTTCTTCTTTAAATGTTGGTGTGCTGCAAATTTGCAAGAAAGAATTGCAGTTTGCAGCAATAATGCAGTACATTTGCTACGAATTTAAGACAATATCTGATATGTTGTTAAGGGTCACCTTGATAAACTTGACATTGTTGATCAAAAAGATTGGCACACCCTTAGATTTTTGTCACTGTCTTTTAACATTATGACATTGTTTGTTGCGCTTTATTCTTTGGTTGTCTGGAATAGGAAAGGACAAATTGGGACACTGTTCCATGAAACGTTTCCCTGTGCAGGTCCATCTCACCTGGAGTAGCGATGTGACGGAAATGTTTGCATGTACAGTAGTCCGTTCCCCATTACTTTTCCCAGGTGACGTAGTCCCAAAAATTAGCGCCAGTACTCCGACTTACCCTAACCTGTACTAATCATACGGGACCCTGGACTTCCATTCCTAGGACTACCATTCCTGTCACACCGCTAACCCTAACCTGTACTAATCATATGGGAACCTGGACTTTCATTCCTAGGACTTCCATTCCTGTCATACCACTAACCCTAACCTGTACTAATCATATGGGACCCTGGACTTCCATTCCTAGGACTACCATTCCTGTCACGCCAATCCATGTAGTAACGGCTGGGGAATTTCAGCTTTCGTTCTTCTACTTTTGGCATTTCCGGTTGGATTCTGAGTAAATGGAATTCTCCCGTTGTTCTTGTTTCGTTGATGTGCTACACGTTAATGTTAAAAAGGGAAAAGATTGTAAGCTCTCCCTACCCTAGGCCTCAGGATCTGACAGTAGAATCCGCATGATAAACATTGTCGGAATATATCATTATATATTATATATATAATATATTATAATACATAATTATATCATGCTAGTTTCCAGAATTTGACTCTCGATTTTTACCGCTCATGATCACATAGAGTAGCGCAGGTGACGATAATGCAAAGCTTAGTGCAGCATTTATATATGTAATGGCTTAAGACATACATGGGGTATTCGGTATATTTAATGCGATATTCACACGTGGAAAAGTGTATCGACATTTCTGGGCAACAGTGTATATATTATTGCGTTTTATTAAGAATAATTATTGTGTTTTCGCTTCTGGGGGGTAATTATTTCCATGAATATGATTTCTCGCTAAAGAGAGTTATCTTAGGTCGTAGTGACATTAAGAAGGTACCTCCGTTCGTTGTAATAATTTCATTACCTCTAACAACGCAGGTCTTGCTTTCAGCGGTATCAGTTTTCTGGACAAGATATTGCAAAACAGTTTTACAAAATTTGATAAGACTGTTTCAAAGGAAGAAAAGACATGATTACAAATTAAACTGGCTCTCGATCTTTTATTCTCTTATGTTTCATTATCATTTATATTTTGAATTGGCGAAGATCTGAATTCAGTTGCGGGATGCTCTGTAGTTTCATAGGTGTAATGAGAAATACAGAATGAGAATGACGGTAAATTGTACTCAGTCTTAAGTAGTAAGACAGGGATATTGAAAAAAGAAAGAAAGAAACGTTACCAGAGGGAAGTAGCCTGCATGCTTGGTTCTTCTCCACCCTCACCTCTCTCCCTCTCTGTTTCTCTCCATCTCTCTTACTCTCTCCCTTTCCCCCTCTATGTCTCCCTCTCTTTCTCTCTCTGTGAGTACTGTTATCTGTCTCTCTCTCTCTCTCTCTCTCTCTCTCAAACACTGTTAAAGGGTGTATTTCACATGTACAGTATATGTACACAAGATATTGTTTTAAAACGCCTTAGGTTGTACTGTGCATAGTAATTGTACAGTAATTTTACAGTGGCTGATTTCTTTACTACATTACTGTAGCTTTTGTCAGCAACGTGTTCAAATAAACAAAAAATAGTTTAGTTTTAGTCCAATTTTGTTCAATTTTCTTTTTTTTAATCTCCAAAAAATTTGCTTTAACATGGAGTCACCCCAGAGAAACATAACCTTTATTTTACATTCTCAGGCGAAGCAGAGCTTTTTGGGAGCTGTACTGAGATGGCTCCAAGTCACAAATCTACAGCCCGACCACTGAGAACCAACGTGCTGCAGGATGAAGTGACCGTTACTGAGGACGCAGAAGTGACCATTACGGTGGACAACACAGAGTTGGTCTTCTCCGCTGCCAGCGAGGTGTCAGAGTTCCTGACGTCAAGTTATGACATCAACGATACGTTATTAGTTGACACCATCCCGGACCCAGAACCAGAGATTTTCTACAGTAAGTCGTAATTTTATCAGTTGAATTCGTTCCAAATATGTGTGAAACTTATTTATACACATGAATGACACAAAACACACACATACACGCGCGCGCGCACGCACACACACAAGCACGCACGCAAAAAATAATAATAAATAAACATTCACTCGATAAAAATGTTGGGCCTTAATTATGATCTCAAAATCATGGCGATGACGTCGATCTTTACATCTACATGCATTTAGCAAACTTGTACAGTGTATCCACTCATTTTCAACAGTGTGATACTATCAAAAAAAGTTGCCAAATTATAAAACCATAATAATGGCCGTAGAAGGTCAAAGTTATTGGTCACGATTACTTCATCGCTGTAATTACTAGCGGGATCTCGCGGCTTTGCAGCCTAATGCTAAAGACACAGTTCACTTCAGGAGAATGACCACGGTGAGCTGATAAAGGCAGGGTTCTTTGATGCCAGTCCGTTTGAAAACGGAGTCGTTTGTCTCAAAACGCAGCCGTTGTTTTGTACCCTTGTAGATAAGATATCCCCAGTTCCTTTTGGTCCTGATATATTGAGGCTTTAAGATATCCGTGGATGGATACCGCATCAGTTCAGATTGTTCTCCGGGACGTCTTGATAACTTAGTTTGGTTTACCCTTTCAAAGTTTGACCTTCCAAACATGGCCACCTATCTCGTCTTAGAATAAGATTTGTTTTACGATTTATATCCATAATAAAATATATATATATTAAAAGTCGAGCAAACGACCACTCTCAGTACCAGTATATGAATAAAGACTGCATTTAAAAACCCATTTTTCTCACACCGGATTATTTTATTACATCCACAGCTGTCCCAAAGTGTAAAGTACCTTACGGAATCCTACCGGATCCATCCGACTGCGGTAGATTTATCACTTGTGTCAACGGAGAAGTGGCCAATGCACAGTTTTGTCCTGACGAAAACAACTTTGACTCCATCACCAGCGTGTGCAAACACCCACGTGAGGCCATCTGTGAGAAAATGGAGGAACCGCTCAGAAACGTAACCGGTAACCAATTATGTATTGTATTTCCACCGTTGTCAAATAAAAAAATCATTTCCTTTTCATTTATGAATTAATATCAAATATCTGAAAAGCTTTCTATCTGTATGAAAGACAATGCGGTCAGTTGAAAAATGACTATATGCAATATGATTTCCAACAGAGACAGTCTCTCTCTCTCTCTCTCTCTCTCTCTCTCTCTTTTCAGTGTCTGAATCAGTTTTTAAGTGGTTTCTGAAGGACACTCCTTTTTGTCACTTTTTCCTTGTAGCTAATTCGACGTGTGAGAAGTTGACGGACCCCACCACGTGTAACACGTACATAGTGAGGTGCAATAAGGGACCTGAGTACGGAAACCGGACGTACGACATGTACTACGCATGCCCAGGAAACATGATATGGGATGAAGAGAAACTGGCATGTGACGCGCCGAGGAAAGTTAAATGCAATAACAGGACACATTATGGTGAGGATTCTTCCTCTCACTCTCTCTCTCTCTCTCTCTCTCTCTCTCTCTCTCACACACACACACACA